AGGAAAACACAATTGCTTTTACAGTATGATTTCTGTCAAGCACAAATTCATACTGGGGAACAGGTGCAAGTTTCCTGCCAAGAGAGGTGTTATTACAATGTTCTCTGTAACATGAGAACACAACCTTCACACCTCTTAAAGCACAGCTTGTGTGGGATTGTGGATCTGTGCTTCAAGCAGATATTTGTTTACACTTCACTGTTGGAGCCACAGGGAAAAAAATAGAAAAAATATTTAACGAGGGCTGAGGGGGTACATGGTTTTAATTCTACTTTTTGAAAAACTCCTGTCTGTAAATACAATTTTATCAAAATACAAACAGTATGGGAGGGGTTCAGAAGAGGAAACGAAAAGATCAAGCAAAGGATCAAAAGCAGAAGACAAAGTCCTGAAAACACAAAGTGACAAACAAGTGAGCAGAAACAGGAAAGTGTGAATTACACCCACAGCACATCCAAACTGGAGATTTCTGCATATTGTTTCTTTTAAGTTACCCTTCATTTAAAACATACAGCATTAAATAATAATAAATAAAGTGCTACGTGTTGTCATCATTGTCTGTTTCCATGCAAAGACAAAATTTGCTCTCTGCATTTAACCCATCACAACTGGGATACACCCAGGTGGAGCAGTGGGCAGCTATGCAAGTGCCCGTGGAGCAATTCGGGATTGGGTGTCCTGCTCAGAGACACCACGAGATGTGCAATGATGGGGAATCAAGCCAAGGACCTTCGGGTCCCGAGTCGGCTGCCCTGCCCCTACACCATCCCAGCCCCATTCGAGATTTCGAGATTCAGAGATTCAGAGATTCAGAGAGATTTATTTGTCATTCACATCTCATGTGGTGCATGTGGTGGAACGAGATTATGTACATAGGGTCCCAGTTACATCAAACAATAAAAAGGAAAAGAAAAACAGTAATAAGATCCAAGATATGGACTAAGAAAAACATCAACTAAATAATACCCTAAGCACTAATGGCATAAAAACATTACGTCAAACAGCAGCACGAACATGAGTCTGTGTGAGCGGATGAGCATGCATGAACACAGCAACATGAAACAGATCAGCATCAAAATGAAACAGATCAGCAGCAACATGAAACAGATCAGCAGCAACATGAAACAGATCAGCAGCAACATGATGTGATTCTTCACAGTGATTATCCTCGTTAGATATTCATGAGTCTAACAGCTTCAGGGTAGAAGCTGTTCCTCAGTCTAGTGGTTCTACACATAATGCTCCAAAAACCTCCTGCCTGAGGGGAGTGGGGCAAAAAGTGTGTGTGCTGGGTGAGTGGGGTCCTTCATGATGCAGGTGGCCCTCTTCCTGCATCTGGAGGTGTTAATGTATGTGATGGTGGGGAGACTGACTCCAACAGTCTTCTGTGCAGCCTTCACCACTCTCTGCAAAGCTTTTCTTTCTGCAGCTGTGCAGCCTCCATGCCACACGTTGATGCTGGAGCACAGGATGCTCTCCACTGCACACATTAGGTTTTATGTTCAAGATTCTTTTCTACATTAAAACTTTGCCCTTTTGATTTGACGACATTCTGTGAGCAAGTATTTAGGACTTGTTGAATATAGTTTTTGGACAAAACTGAAAAAATCTTACAACATGGAGTATAAAAAAATCTGCACCATGAAGACGATGATGCAAGATAAAAGTTAAATTCAGAAATTTTGAGATATTGAAATAAAATTTATTTCTAATGATTAAGAAACTATTTATATATATTTTTTATGACCATATACAAAAAAAAATACAAACCAACAAAACAATTATATTTTTGACTATATGTTATCATAGATACACAATCAGTCTTTGAGCACTGGAGAGAAGTGTAGTTTGTCCTCATGCAGCTTAGTAGAAACACAAATGACTGGGAAAAGTAATTTTATGAATACCCAATTAATGACATTTGCAGAAAGCTGCATGCAATATTATGTGTCAATGTCAGAATAAGGTACTTTACAAATTAAATAATTAAGAAGCTATTGTTAATGCAGGAAGGTTTTCTGGGTGTTTCTATTATTTCATCTATTATTCCATCTGTATTTTTTAAACTGTCAAAGCTTATTTTTTAAAATAGACAACTTAATAAAACGTGGGCCAGAATTTCAATTCATTTTCCACCCCACGTTGTTACATTTGCATAATGTGTTTTAGTCAGAGAAAAGGGACAACAAGATGAATATTTAGTAATCCTCTGTGGAAAGAAAATACAGAGTTTATCAGCTGTTACATGTCAGCAAAACTTTTAGTTACAATAAAACCCATTAACTCAACAGATTTGACACACTCCCACACACACTGTGGACATTGATACATATTCAGTAATTTACGCCACACATGTATCCAGTTAGTCATACACTTGTCACTTTTTGACCCTCTAAAGTGGTAAATACACACAAGTGTGTAGGCTACCAATTATTTGATTTCCATAATCAGGCAGCCAGTGGAGAAACATGGTACAGTTGAAAATCAAATTAGGATCCCTCCTGCACACACACCAAAGCACAGAGAGCAGACTGGGACTTTACACTCCAGTAACCATCACAAATTGGCTTTTTGAAATGCATGCCTAGAAAAGCTTTAGAATGTGTGTGTGATTTTAGCCTTATTATTATTTTTTTTACATTTAAACATGGGTCAATAATAAAAAAAATCTGCACGTTTAATCTGTCTTTTTTTTAAGTCCATGGGCAACACTGTTTTTTTTATTAAGTCAGACACTGGATTCTTAGTTATTCTTAAAATAACTTGGCACATATGATGTAGCCTCAAGCCGTCAAATGCAAATTTGGAGAATGACCAAAACTCAAAGACGTGGTGAGTAGCTGGCCATCACAAGGGTAGGATGACGGACTTTATGGAAGGACATTTATGATACAGCATCTATACAAATGATCCTAAACCTCAGTTCTGCAACAAATCAACAGTTCTGCTCATTGTACAATTATGAGTACAAAATGCTCTTGAAAAGGTTAAACTGCTGCAATGTTTAAATCCAGTTGTGATTTCATAGTTCATCTAGTTTGCAAATAACCATCAGAATATCAAAGCCTATAATAGAGTATATTTAGCTGTGTAGAAAGGTTAGCAGATCATCTAAAAAACTCCTTCAAAACCTGCTGCCTAAACTGTAAGCTACAGAACATTAGTTGTTGCCTTAAGAGAGGGTGACTCAAACACGGTTCTAGGTTTCTATACTGCCATTGTTTTTAATCCTTTACACTAAAAAATAATAATCTGTTTTGATCGTTTCTCCACTTGCATTGGCTAATCAATAAGAGGGCAACCAGAAAGCCATTAAGTTTACAGAACCACTGGTGAATCTACTAGTTTAAACCCACAGGCTTCCAAAAAATAAAAAAATAATTAATTAATTAATTAAAAAAAAAAAAAAACACACTGCTGCAAACAGTAATTTACAGAGACATTGAGGACTCAACCAACCAGTGTTTAAGGAAAAAAGTGGAGAGAGAAACCAGCAGTTCATGCTGTTCAGGGGTTAACAGAAAACATTAATTTGTGTGGAAACTAAAGGTCTAATCATTGAGAGTCGTCTGCTGCTGTTTCTCACTATGTGTGAACCCTGACTGCAGTGTGACATGTGCAAACCCAAGTTAAAAACATGTCCACCTTACAGCCACAAAGCACACGCATACATAAACATACAAGGTAATCTTTCACACAATCTTTTCACTAGAAGGATTCAGTTGATGGATATTACAACGAATCACATTCAAACATCCCGATTGCGACCTAATATAATTTCCTCACATATTACACTCGAGCAAAAATCACTAGTTTGAATAGGGGACATGTTGCAAGCTTAATTACAACTGTTCCTATAATTTTACAGCATTTAAAGGCAAGAAAAATACCAGTGAGTCTCTGTATTTAATTTGCTGGTAACACGATAAGAGTTTAGTCAGGGTGCTACGTTAACGGTTTGGGTAAAATAAATCCAGGTCATTTTGTCACACCATACGAGCACAGTACAGACAGGGTGATATTTAGAGCAGATTCCCCCACACAGTGAACAGAAATTAAGAGTACAGCTGCTGGCTTTGAGCAATGTTACCACTAAGACGAAACGCCTCTTGAAATGTGGTCAGACAACAATCACTATGCCCACCGTGAGTCACCATCAAACCAGCCGCCGGTTAAGTAAAGCTTAGAACAGAGGATTCAACGTTTGACAGCAGGGATTCTTAAATTAAATCCAAAGCCCTTTCCACCTACAAGATACAACAAAAAGCCTTTAGTGGACTGCAATTGGTTGCTTGGGGCCATCCTCACAGTATAAAAGCACCAAAAAGGGCAACTAGACTTTATATAAGACTTTTACGCAACCAAATTAACTTGATACATGTCCTTTCTTAGCATTTCCCGATACCATGCTGTTCAAATTCTTGAATCATTTCCAGCAACAGCCTACTCCAGTTAATCTCATATGTTTAAGTCAAAGAAACTTTAGTGCTTGCCATCAATTTCCATTTTATGACATTCCATCCATTTTAAATTCATGCCATCGGCTGTCTAACCAGTAACTTCATTTTCCAATACCTTGGCTACCAGAGCCCTAAAGCTGAACATATGTTACTTCAAGTACAGGAAGACAAAGTTCAGGAAAAAAAATGCAATAAGACTAAAGCAGCAGCAGGACAGAATTAAAACTGAACAGACTAAGCATATTAATGAACATAAATAAGAACAAATGAATAAAAAAGGAAGAAAAGTTGAGCAAAGAGTGCTATTGGGGGTGCTGAGTTTGTTGAATTCCCATTTGAGTGGTCCGCCACTTCATTGTGACCCCATCACACCAACAACTGCACCGGCCACATAATCAGTACAATTTGAAACATTACTCTGACAAAGCTTGTATATCAAGTAAAATACTAAAAAAAATAGTGAAGGATATAAACTAGAAACACTTGTCAATAGCATTCTACTGATTTGAGTTTGAAGAGAAAATGATCAAAGCTACTCACAAGATTTCATCATTTTGAAATTCCAGGACGCCATGAGTGTCTTCGAAGTCTTCTCCCCCACCACGGGCTGTTCCTTCAACCGTTTTGTATGGCACCATGACCACACCTCGAGCCCCGGATGTTCTCAGCACCTTCACCTCCATTGTACCAATGCTCTCACTGACATGGAGAACAGGCTCCTCAAATGTAAAGATACCAGCGTGGTCATCATCAAATATGGTAATGGTTGCTGTGGAGGGTATGCCAAGGCATGCCACAGAGTCCACGTGATTAGCCGATTCACTTTCCTCTGGCTCTTCACCTTCTGACGTCAACACCTTGACATTAGAAAGGTGAATGAGGAAGTTTTCATCCTCCTCAAAGATGTCGTCATCAATGATGCCCACACGGATCTCCTTCATCGTCTCGCCAGGCTTGAACACCACCACGCCCTCTGTGAACTCGTAGTCGGAGCCAGCATTGGCTGTGCCGTCTTCCGTTCTGTACTCCACAGAAACAGCTTTGCCCAGGTCGCCGCCTCGCCGCGCCACATTCACAGCCACTGTGCCGCAATTCTCAAGGCACTGGTAAGAACCAGGCTCAAAATAGATCTTGGAGATGGGATCGTTATCACCAGCATCAGAGCGAACCTCGTGCATGCTGACGGCCTTTCGTGCCTGATCGGCAGCGTGTTTTTTTAGAATATTGCCGGCACCTGTCATCAACCGGGTGGCTTGGCATCGATAGAAAGCTCGACTTTTCTGCTGCTGGCTCAGAACTTGGTAGTTGGCAAGCTCGATGAGTTGTTCCACCTGGTGAAAGAAAAACGGAACCAGAAAGAGAAAATTCTTCAGTCGAACCCAAGAAAAAATTGGCAAAGGTAGTTAGTTTTTTTTAAAAGTGGCTTTGCCCAAAAACCACAGACAAAAAATAGATTTTAAAAAATCCATAAATGAAAAATGCATCTACTGGAAAAACTGAGTTGTTGGTGTTAAAGGTAGCACAAAAAATAAATAAAATAAAATAAATAAAACTGCTTCAGACTTTTGGAGTTGCCTTGTTGGTATCAGAATAAGACGAGTGCCAGACTTTCATTTGTTTGTATTTTTTTTGTTTTTGTTCATTTGTTTAAGCATTATCCAAGAAATTGTGCTTTTGTAACAAGCTGCTAGTAACAAAATATCAAAGATCAATTTAAAACTCATTCTCTGACAAGATGTCAGATGGGTGTAAAAACAGAACATGAAACAATTCACATAGGCATCAGGCACTGAACTGAGAATAATCAAGAAGTAGATTGTCCTGATTAAAAATGTTAAACTTCCCCAGAAATCCTACATTAAAAACCTGAACAAGAACATTTTAAATTATTTTAAGAAAGTTTGTCTTGTTTGAAAGTAAAAAAAAAAAAAAAAAGTTAATTTGCACAACATTGTCTTCGTCTTCAAGTTAGTTTTTAAATTATGAATTCTAATACGAGCTAGCCATAATCCACTTATTAGCAGATCCATTTTTAATACAAGCTATTTTTTATTTATTCAACTCAAATAAGCAAATTTAAACCACAATGAAAATTGTTCAAAGTCGTACTTGTGTGCCTGACAACAGCAACATTAAAGTCATAATAACTGGAGGAGAATCAAAACCATTAACACAGGGAAACATGGAAAACTGGAATAATGTCATAACACACAAACATTTTCAATTTGACTTTTTATAAGTTGAGATATTTAGAAAACTAGTATTTTTTGGCTTACAATCAGCAGGAGACAGAACAGACACTTGCATTGCTGTAACCAGTTTTGACGCATCTTAATACAAACAGAATTCTTCAATTAATTATCCTTCTTTGCAAATTTCTGTTGATTATATCTAATTAGGCTTCTAAGTTAATCGGTAGTCATCGATAAAGTAATGCAGTCGAGACACAGCGATCACTGATGGTAAACAGATGAGCTAATCAGAGTTGTCAGCATGCAAGATTAAATAAACATGGCTACACTGCAGCCGGTGTTTTACATCACTGCTTGTGACAGTGTCGTGCATCTTAGTGTCAATTAGTGTTTATTTTACAGGTAGGTTTCCTGCAAAAAAAGATGGATTACAAACAGGATTTTTTTTGCCCTGTAACATTTAAGTAATCTATTCATGAACAGTCTGTTTAACCACTCTTCATATCCAAAACACTGGTGAGACAACTTGTCATGCGTTTGTTTTGAATCTGGATTTTGGCGCTTGTGCAGAAAACAAGACAAAGACATGAAGTACCAAGAAACAGAATAAATGCGTTGCATACAGTTGGTTAGCAAATATGCAAGAAATTACCTATTTGAGTAAGTGTCTTGGCCTAAATGGTTTCTGTGCACGTTACAGTCGAGTTACAATTTCATTGGAATGACATTTTTCCACCGGGCATCTAGCGGTGAGTTTGAGACGTCTCCTGTTTGCACCGTGGAAAATATGCAGATTCCAGGTGTCTGGTAAGCTTTGTAACCTGTGAGTGTGCCTTGAGGAGGATGAATGTGTCATCAGTGCCCAGTGCAGCTGGAAAACTGGGTAAGAAAGTTATTCGGAGATGGGACTTTCAACTGATGATGCAGTTTCAGTCAATTTCACTCCACTTGCTCCAGGTGAAATGAAAGACAGTCGTGACTATATCGCGTGGGGCTTCTTTTTCCAAGTTAACTAACTGTAAAGACAATTTAAAAAAAAAATGGAATCTCTTCCTGTAGAAACGCAAGGACGCATGCACAAGTGACCTAAAGGCTCCCACAGATTTTGCAAGTACATAATGTCTCTCAGCTTAACAGTTCAGATTAGCTTTAGCTTTCAGAAATCTATACAAAAACTCTGAATTTGTAGCATTTGTGTACATCATCATATATAACGTCTTAATATTCTGATTGTTTGCATTAATGTGTCAGATTTTCCAAACATTTTAGACTTTGTTTCCATACAGGATTGGGGTCTTTTGCCTATTAACAGGAAATCAAGGCAGCACAGTGAATGTTTGTAACTTCACTCTGCAATAGGTCAATCACTGTAATAGAAGTAGCATGTGCATTATATGTTGCCAATTATTATTTCATACAAACGCAGAAGGAAAAAAAAAAGAGAGATGAATGCCAGGAGCTGTAACCATGCATCATTTTAAACTCGTTACCAACCTCTTTGTCAGGGTGCTTCTGTTTCAGCTCCTTCAGGATCTTCGCCATGTCTCGGCGAGTCTCCTCCTCATCCAGATCCTTCTCATCAAGATCCAAGCCAAGAGGACCATCCAGAAAGTCACCCCCATGAGAGTTCAGCATCTTCCCATCCATCTCAATGTCCACCTTGAAAAAAAAATAAAATTAACAAAACAATTACCCATCACTGATTCAGGACTTTAAAACAACTTCATCAGTCCAACACAAATTAAATCTCATTCAGTGTAATATTGTATTTTTGTGTTGCACCAAATCATTACAAGTACATTTTTTCATAGTTTTGCTATTCAAGTCAGTAAATTTTATTGTGAGTATTAAAAAATAAACAGTGCCCAACAACAGACTTCCTTATACAAAATCCATTTTATTTGCATAATTATGTTTAGAGAATTTAGACTATTATAGCATCCCATCCCACCTCAGTGTAAACAGTGTGGTCATTCATTGTGTTTCACTTTTTTCCATCAGATTAAAGAGGATGTCCAGACTGCATTTATGTTTTCCCTTTGAGAATGATTTTATCGACAAAACGTCTTTTAGCTCTTAAAAGCAAGATGGCAGCGATTATTCTCTTCCCTCTGGAATACTGCTGGAATGATTTCAGCAGATCTGTACACCACAAGCTGACGTGAAAATGCTCTTGATATACAAAGGGATCAACACATTTTTAATCTCAAAGAAGTATGTATAATTAAAACAGAAGCGGTTTCTAAATTTAGAACACAGAGAGGGTTTTATTTCTGTGAGCAGCAAGTCTACATGTACTCTCTACAATAATGAAAATGTAATTAGATCCATCCAGGCAGTGCGTCAGAACAACATCTGATGGTTAAAACAGGAAATTAAAAAAGGTAGGGTAACTTCAAAGGCCATTTGTGTTTGCAGTAATACATTAGCATCAGCTAAACATGTTCAATTCACTATTAAACTATTTGTTACAAATGCAGCGCGTGACTCCTGAGCCGTTTACAAAAAATAAATCTTTGACATTTGTAAAAAAAACTATTTTTACTATCAGTCTTCCAAAGTATGCAACCAGCCAAGTGAGAATATTAAATGCGAATTAGAAATTGTATTTATTCTTTTATTGAACATCTAGAAATTTTAATTCCAAAATGATCAATACTGGTGATCTGAGAAAAATACAACTCCTAATGAAAGTCTAACAGACCCATCTTGCCGTGTTTAATTTATATTTTTCTGGCACAATTTGCAATACAGTAAAGCCAGAGTTCAATAATTTTGTCTGCTGCGACTCTGAATATTGACATTATCCACCTAATTTGTTGATGCAGATATCCATGCCAATTGAACAGACACTTTTTGTACTTTAGCTTTTATCAGCTGGGTTGTGTGTTATACATACAAGGGTTGTGCATTCAATAAGATGCACACCTCCATACTCCACCAGTGAACCAGTTCAGTAAAGATAAAAGGTGCAACAAATATCAAAATGATACAACTCTGCTTTTAATCACAACATGATGCAATCCAATAAGTTTTGATTCAGAAGCTTTTTACACCATTATAGTTACTCGACACTAAGCAGCAAAACACTGCTTTTAAATTATACACCGATTTAACATTTTATTTCTGGGATATTTGTTGATTCACATGATCATGAAGCACATTTTCAGCATTTGTTGCTTTTTCTTTAGACTCTGCTGCAGTTTTTCTATGGAAGAGTATGTCTGACCGACAAGAAAACTATCACTAAATACCTGGTGTGGAAGCAGAACAAGAGCTGTTCACATGAAAGTGAATAAAAGTAATTTGTTCATCATGTAAGAAAATTACACTTTTGTAAGTTTTGTTTGTTGTAAACAGATTCCAATATAAAAAAAACCCTGCTTGCATCTTTTTCCATTTAATATCTTATTGCATTTTATTGATAAAGATGCATTACATTAAGTCAATATAACATATAAAACAATACCTCAGTTGTAATAAAGTCAGTTTATCAGCTCATATATTGTTTCAGTGAAAGTTAACAGTGACAATAATAATATTTTTAATAGCAACAATGTCATGTTCATGGCTTTACCTTGGAAGGAAGCGGACGATCACCCTCTGTCTCAATTATCATCCGAGGCTGCTTGCCAGTGCGGTAACGCTTGTACACATACTTGTAAAACAGCAGGCGGCGGTCAGCCACCCAGGCAAACACCACACAAATAGGAAAAAAGAAGAAAGTGAGCAGGCCCTCCCACACCTGCACAACTCCAGGAGAGATCACAGACAGGATCAGGTAGAGCCAAATGTAGGCGAAGATACTCCAGGCGGCCGTGACAAAGAAGACACGAAGGTGCTTCACTTTCCTCGTCTCGCCGTCGGGCACAACGTACACACATAACCCGATGATGACAAACATGTTGAACGCTGCAGATCCCACAATGGTAGAGGGGCCCATCGTGCCAGCCTGAAACCCATGACCTATAATTTCTATGACAGACAGAAGGATTTCAGGAGCCGAGGAGCCCAGAGCCATGAGGGTGAGATTGGACACCGTCTCGTTCCAGACCCGAACAGTGGTTGTGGTGGTTTCTCCATTGGGTTTCTTGATGGTGATCTCTCGTTCCTGTGATGTGATAACCTCTATTGATGCCATGAAACGGTCTGCAATGATTGACACACCGAGGAACATGTAAACCAAAGCCACAAAATAAACTGTTGCCCTGGCAACCTTGTCACCAAACGATGGGTTCCGGGGCTCCCAAACAGGTAGCAAGACCCCCCTTTCACACTGTTCAGCCTTGGTGCATTCAGTTTTATTTGTGGACACCGCCAAAACTGAGCTGCCCAAATTTGGCTCAGGAGGGGCTCCGGCCAGTGTGGGATGGAGCTTAAGTAGGAGGATCCCAGTAACAACTGCTAGCCTCAGAGCAGGCGACAGGACGGTGGTGCAATCCCAGCAGCCCATGTTGACAACGCAAGGACTGTAAGATCACGGAGGGTTTGGAACCTAGAACAAAAAGAAAGGAGAACATTCAGTCATGCATCCTGTTACACATAGTGATGGTGTAAGAGTCACATAAAGGAGACATTTTCTTAAAAATCAGCTAAATTCAAGATGGTTTATCTGAAACAAAAGGCTGACAACAATTTAACAATACAGTTTAAATAAGCATCAAGTCTTGAAAACCACAAACAAATTAACAATAAAGATAAACCTCATCTAAAGAGCTTATAGATATAGATATAGGGGTCATCTATAGGGGCTGATATGGGGTAGAGGCAGGGCAGCCCCACTTGGAATCGGAAAGTCGTGATTCGACTCCCAGCCATTCCCACATGTCGTGGCGTCTCCGAGCAAGACACCTAGTCCCCAATTGCTCCTTGGGCACTTACATAGCTGCCCACTGCTCCACCTGGGTGTGTCTCAGGTGTGATGGGTTAAATGCAGAGAACTAATTTCACTATTGGATGTGATCATACCCCGATGACAATCTCAGACTTCCCTTCAGCACCAATAATTTCCAAGGGTCAAATTCCACAATATGTCTACACCCAAAAAACTTCTCTGCAGTCAGTGATTGGAAAAAAAAAAATGTTTTTTTGTAAGAGCTTGTTTTCTTTAATGAAAATGTGTATAATTTGTTAGGTATCACTTCATCGTTATCTCCCACCAGCTCAAGATGAAATGCAGTGAAAGAGGTTTTGCCAAAGTGTGTTTGTGTTGGCAAAAATCCTTATGAACCGCAGGACGGATTTCATCCAAACTTTAATAATCATTGGATATACATCTAAAACACATTAAAATTTGGAGTCAACATAATACAAACAATCAATTGCAACCATTATAACTTAAAAATAGATAAAAATAACTGTCCACTTAGATGGAGATTCAATTTGATGTAAATGCAGCTTATAACTGTTCAGAATAGCTGCTCACAATAATATCAAGTGAGTTTTGTGCCGATCATTATTTAAAAAGAGTTTGACCAAAACAGCTATAATTGGATTTCTCAGCACAAGATGATCAGAGCTTAATAAAATCTCTGGAATGAAATCTGCCAGGTAATGTACATTTCATCAAGGAACGCAAAATCTTTAAAATTCAATAAAGTGTTTGATTTGATTCAACATTCATTTGTTTATGTCACAAAAGTAAAATCTAAAAACGTAATCACCAGTTCCTAATTGTAGCCTTCATGTCGGATTTTTGTTCCAAGTATGTTTAGTTCAAATTCGAATTCAGCACTAAGTTTGAATTTTCACTGCCAGTGTCTTCAAAACAAGCCGAGATGAAACAGAAACAACATAATTAGCCATGAATCAGTTGCATTAAGGAAACATGTCCATAATTCCCAACACACAATATAAAATTATTACATAAGCTAATTGCACACTGTTGGGTCATTTCTCTAGGGAATATAATCCATTTGTATAACGGAGCAGTAATCATGAGCATGGACTGGTATGCAATAAGTGCCATCAGAACTCTCTGAACGCTCCTCCATACGGTCATAGCGGTTCGATTGACTAATCACACTTGTTTAAACCTATATGCAGTTTATTCTAATCTAAACGAATGCAAAGAGGATCAAAGAAGTGGCATTAAAATGCACACAAAATGCATTGTTTCATCATGCAGCTAGATTATGCTCGATACTACCACATTGCTGATGCAATTTAATTGTAATATAGTATAGAAGAGAGCTGATCGAGTAAGGACCCGCCAGAGGACCTGAACATGAAAACCAGAAGCTCACAGGACATCAAAGTCACTGCTTGAACTTGCAAAGCACAAAAAGTTGAGCAAGAATTTTACACTTCCATAGAACTTGTCAATGTTTCAATATATTTTTGGAAACAGTCTAACTTGACAAAATGAAAGGAAGTTTATTTATGTTTGCACTTTAGTCACACAAAAGCTAATAGTAAAATATAACTGGGGGAAAAAGAAAAGCAGTATCTGAAAAAGGCTGGTAGGACTGCACCTACTGAATTGTAGTGAAGAAAGAAGCACCACTGCACACTATGTATTCCTTCATTTGTTCCATTTACTTCATTTATTTGAACAATCTCTTCAATTTCTTTTTTTTTTTTGTTTTGCCTAATTACTATGATGACTGTAAGTTCATACCAAAAAAAGATCGGCGAAAGTAAAATAATAATGTACGTAAAAGAAAAACTTCATACATTACAACTCAACTCTGACCGGTCAGTCCAATTTAAGACAACCCTACGTGATTACTGGTGATTTCAACATTTTGGACTATTTGAACTTAAAAAATAAATAAATTAATTAAAAAAAAATGCTTTTACTATAAACAAAAGTAAATTTCAATAACTGGTTCATCTTGCTCGTAAGAGTTAGAAATGTAAAAAAAAATCAGATTTTTAGAATGCATGACATGGCATCTTTGCAGCACAGTCTTCAGCTAGACAGTAAGCCAAATGACCTTTTCAGTCACACTCATGCATATCAAAATTCACTTAAACTTAACTACTTTGAGGAGTTTTAAGAAGCAATGCTGCACAAGCTGTAATCCTTCCAACTGCTGATTACACAAGAAGCAAAACTGAAAAGTTCTTAAACGGGTTTCTTTTAGCGTCCTGCCTGCCAACATCCATTTACCAATAATTAACGTTTCACCTTTATGTGCAGACACAGCACAACTTTCAAAGAACCAATAATTACGCTTGTCCCCAACCACAAAACATCTTTGTCGTAAATCTTGAAGCATGTTTTCAGTCATTTTGCATTTTCCACATTTTCCAAGTCTCTGTAGAAAGTTTGATAAAGGTATTTTAAATATTTGAGTTAAATAAATCAGATGTAGTGTGTGCTTATCTTGTCATGTAGGGAATGAGCCCTTTTCTAATGCAAGAACATTTTCTTGAACTCAAATAATAAAAATATATATATATATTTTGTTCAAATGAAATCAAGCAAAATATTTTCCTCCCGCTTAGGAGACAGGATCGCCTTCCTCTCCTGAAATTGTGGTGTTGTGTGGTCAAATAAAGCTTCATGTGGCCTTTTCAAATGATAACTGTGCTTTGGGATTTGGTTGTTTTCATTTGGGGACATCACTTTTCCAACCAGGCTTATAACTGTACAAGTTACCTTACACAAATGTTCAGCGCAGTTGTGTATTACTTTTTCCTGTAGCTTCACAAACCCAGTGGAGTGAACAAAGGAAGGATATAATGTCAGTGTAAACATCAGTCAAGCCTGCTTAAGGATTCTGTTTAAATGTTAAGATTGGTTGTGTGATTGTTCTTGCATTTTAATGAACACACGTCCCTGTGATAGATTTGTGGCCTGTCCAGGTTGTAACCCGCTTCTCACAGTGACTGAAGGGCATGGGCACCAGTGAAAAAAAAAAAAAAAAAACCCTCAGATTGTTAGTTTTAAGATGTCCAATTTCCAATGGATGGTGGTTTGTTTTTATAAACATTTGTAGGAAAAAAGACAGCATTTCACTTTCTTTAAACTATACAAATTTGATCAAATCTACTTCCAAAGATATGTAGAGATGTACACAGAGTTTACCCTCCAAAGGAAAATAATTAATCACTGTAAGGTCCTTTTAGGTATGACACAATATTAGGGCCACGCTGAGAAAAAAAAAAGCATTACGAGAAAAAAGTCATAGTATTGTGAGAATAAAGTTGTATGACAACAAAGTCACAATATTATGAGAATAAAGTCATAGTATGAGAATAATGTAATAATATTACGAGAATAAAGTAATGATATTATGAGAATAAAGTCATAAAACTTTGAGAATAAACTCATAATACGTCCTGGGTTGACTCGCACCTGCTGCACAGCTTCCAATGTGAGTCATTGTGTTTATGAAGTAGTCCGCGATCACTTTTGGGTCACCGTTTGTGAAATATGCCTCCATCCACATTATGTCACAACTAAATCTGTGAATGCAGCCATTCAATGCAATGACATACAGCTTCAGTTTATCATAAGAATATGCCACAGTGCGTTGGGCCCCATGCTATGGTACTATGGACATCAACATTCATAATTTGACCGCAGTTGTGAACTGATTTTTCATGTAAAGAGTTCCGATTACTTTATTCTCGTAACACTACGACTTTATTCTCGTGATGTATTTTTTTTTTCTTAGCATAATTTTTTTCCCCTTGGCGTGACCCTAATACTCCATAATATTTAGGTTTATGGTCAAACTTTTTTTGTTCTCGTCTTTTAATAGGCTTTTATTTTTTTCAAATAATCAATTTAAAAAATAAGTGTAATCCCCCTCTCTCCCATTCATACACACAAAATACTTAGACAATCTTTTCAAATAAATTTCAGGTTTCTCCGTTTTAGGTAGACTATTCACTCGATCAGCCGGATAGGCTTAGATGAGGCTTTGTTTTTGGTCAAACTTACACATTTCGATCATGGTCCTGCTTTTTTATTTGTATAAACTTAACTGTGCAAAAGAGTTTCCATTTAGTATTTTGCTTTTACTGAACCAGACATGCTAGCTAACTGCTGCATTTGCTTTTGATGCCCTGATTTCAGTAAAGCCAACAGGAGTCAGCCGTTCTGATTCGTGGAGCATCCGTTTCTTCAGCCTGCATGCATGTGGAACTGCTTGTTTGTATTACATGTTTACTCGTGCACAAGTGCATTTTTGCCCTTTACATCCAAACAAACAGTTTTGTCAGAAGAGATGAGACCAAACATGACAGCAACTTCTGTCTTGGGAAGACACGTCTTCCAGGGTAAGTTGAAAGTGAACCCAGTGATTTTTACAGAGGCTCAGACATAAAAAAGCATAGACTATTGAACAAATATAGAAATAAAAAAGTATAGAGATAGAGGTCAAAAGAAACATTACAGAAAGTAATGCATTTAATAATAATTAAGGGATTGGGAAATTCATTAGAATGGATTTTCTTTACAGTCTTTATCTCTCCTATAAGGAACACTTGTGGGTGGTAATGTTACTGTATGGTTAT